TGATATTTGTTATGAAGAAATAAGTATAGTTGAGCAAAGTTAATTGCTACTTTATAATGATTAGAGATTAGATAAGACCACCGGGTGCATAACACTAAGAAACCAAAGACACAGAAACCCACTTGAAAATTCTGAGTAAAGAGGTAGCATGGACTTTCGATGATACTACTGAACTATCGGAAGCCTCTGAAAAAGGATAACTAGAATAGATCGAATGACAGTATGTGTAGAGGAGCACATACCAACCAGGCCACCAGGTCGCCAGAGGAAAAGGATTTTAGGATACCATACCAGGCCATCTGGATTGGTAGTTTGAGAAATCTTGTAGGTCCAGAAGTAAAGGATAAAAGGTGAGAAAGGAAGGTATTAGGGTTCTAGTGAACTTTACAAGAGTATAGCAGTTTAATGGTTAGCCCTGACTGCAAGTGTTGGCCCTGGGCCATAGCGATACCAGGTTAGCTGTAAGTATGGAATACAGAAAACTCTGGTGGGCTTAGTATAAAGTTAAACATGACTTAGTGACTATGGCATATTTGCAGTTAATCTGCAGTTGGTAGGGTAGGGGTGGATACAGGAACTAGAATGTTTAAATAGAGAACTTACAAGTAGGTTCTAGGTATAGCAGCTAGTGTAGAACCTTCGGGCAGACTACTTAAAATAAACAATGACTAAAATTGTACGAGTGGCTAGTTGTACACTCTTCTCATGATTGCCTTTGTAGCTGTTGTACACAATAGTTATATGCTGACAATTACCAATAAACTCCTGGGTCGCAATTACTCACCTTAACATTAAAAAAAAAATAAATAAATAAATAATTGTTTTAATTAAAAATTTTTTTAAATTTATCTATTTTTATCTTATAAGCAACATATATTTTTTTCCTTATAATATAAAATTAAATACTGCTATAATATAATCTTTATTTTTAAATATTATCAAATAAAATTTTATTTAAATATTTTAAAAATTTAAAAAAGTAAATTATAAGTATATTTTTAATAATTTTCTAGACAAATTTGTCTAGAAAAGCCTACAGATTAAATAATAGATTAGTTTAAAAGTTAATTTTATTATTGTATTTTATAGTATCTAGAAGGCTATTAAATTTAAATTCTATTTTTTTTAAATTATTTATTTTTTATTTTATTTATTATGTTTTTTTAAATAAAAAATTTTCTACTTGGTATCTATTAATTATAAAATTTGTTATTTTTTTTTTCTTAAGCAATCATACTAGTATTTTATTAAGATTCTTGAAATTACTATTGCAATTATATAGATATATCTAACAACTAAGTCTAGCATCACCTGGTCATCATAATGGTACCTAAGTGCAATCTGTCACATTATTTTAAACAGAAGTAAGCTGCTTGTCTAACTACTTAAAGTCTATAATGAAAGAGTCTTCTCTCTTTTATAACAAGCTCTAACATTGTTTTTTTAGCTTTTTTTTAATCTGTCTTTCTTTTTCTTCTCTTTTTTTTTTTTCTATTTCTTGCTGATTTATCTTCTTTTTCTTACCTGTATTCTTTTTTTTTTTTTTAGGTTTTTTTCTTCATTTTGCATGTTATTTTTCTTTCTTTTTTTTATTTAATAATCTTTTCACAACATATTCTTCAAACTTGTTTATAGAATATGTTTTAAACTATTCTTGATATCACATTTGCAAACTGCTGTCTTAACTT